CTACTTTTTTGAAGAAAACCTTGGTAGTTTAAACTATTTATTATAAAGGTTTTCATTATGTTAGTTTCTACTTTTTTGAAGAAAACCTTGGTAGTTTAAACTATTTATTATAAAGGTTTTCATTATGTTAGTTTCTACTTTTTTGAAGAAAACCTTGGTAGTTTAAACTATTTATTATAAAGGTTTTCATTATGTTAGTTTCTACTTTTTTGAAGAAAACCTTGGTAGTTTAAACTATTTATTATAAAGGTTTTCATTATGTTAGTTTCTACTTTTTTGTAGAAAACCTTAGTAGTTTAAACTATTTATAAGAAAGGTTTTCATTATGTTAGTTTCTATTTTTTTTGAAGAAAACCTTGGTAGTTTAAACTATTTATTATAAAGGTTTTTCATTATGTTAGTTTCTACTTTTTTGAAGAAAACCTTAGTAGTTTAAACTATTTATTATAAAGGTTTTCATTATGTTAGTTTCTACTTTTTTTTAAAAGAAGCCTTTACTAAATTTTAATCTCTCATATTTAAGATAAAGTTTAGTTGAATGGACTGCAACTTGTAGAAACACAATTATAGAGGACAAAATTTCTAGACTTCTGGCATTCTGAAGACAAAAGGCGGAAGACTTTACAAACGTCGTCCTCTACATGTGTTTCTACAACCACCAGTTGCCATTCATTCAACTAAATTTCATCATGAATACTCTGCCTAAACGATGTATCAAAAATACCATATCATATTTATGTTATAACGAACTAGTTATTACAGCCAAAAGATAACATTTACTTGCTGTAACTCTTTAGCTTGGCGATAATATTTTTTAGCTTTTTCATCCAACTCCTGTATTTTGTTTGGTATGCTGTAACCAAGAACCCTCAACTGTCTCACTTCTCGTATTAAAGATACCAAGCGAGGACTGTAATTCACTCGAGGTTGACCGTTGTTGTCAAGTGACACTACAGGCTGGTCAGTCTCTAGACTAGAACACAAAGAATTTTTTTTTTAAATCCAAAATGCTATTTCTAACATTTTTAAGTGTAAAGTAAAAAATATTAAAAAATATTACTGAGCTTTTCTATAAAAAAGGAAAGAGATTTATAAATATATAAATATATAGCAATTGTAATACACAGTTAAAACATATATTATGCATAAAATCCAATACAGTAATAATTTACAGTCTCTTAAATCACAAAAACATTTTTCTTCAAACATATGTATGCACCTATTAATGAATATTATGCAAATTATTTAACTTTATATGTTCTAGAAATTAATGTTAAAAATTTACTTACTGATTAATTTAATTAATAATATTTTTGCTGAAATTTTACTTCAGTTAGTTTTATCCACCCAATATCACTTTTAACATCAAACCAGTGGTTACACATTGAAACTCATAATCAGTTAAAATAAAACACACAGTATGATGAAACTCATACATACATACATACATATATATATATATATATATATATATATATATATATACACACACACACACACACACACACAGAGATATATATATATTATTTTATTTTAGGTCATCAAGAAATTACTGTCACGTTTTCGAACACTTTCATTAACCCCCTCTAAAAGAAAAGTACATCACATATAATAGTTAAATGAACTGCCTAAATGTCATGTTAGTGTAGCCTATATAATGTGTAAAGTTTAGTATACCCTAATCCCTTATAATGATGGCACACAACGAGACACACATTTGGTATGTAATGCTATTTGAATGCAAGAAGGGAAACACCTCTGTAGTCATAAAAAATATCAAAGAAGTTTATGGAAATGTTTCGAATGTTCGTAAGTGTCAACAATTGTTCAGCAAATTTCGTTCAGGTGACTTTAGCCTTAAAAACTGTGATAGCAGAGGCCGACATGTTGGAATTGATATTGATGCTCTGACGACACTTGTGGAGTCTAACCCAATGCAAAACACTTGTGAAATGGCCCTGAAATTGCATGCCTCTCATGAAACATCTAAGTAATATGAAAAAACTCCATAAAGAAGGTGTTTGGGTGCCTCATGAACTCTCCAATGATCATTGTTTCCAACGTGTGAATGTGCTTTGTCTCTTCTGGTGCATAATGCGTATGAACCATTTTTGGACAGAATTGTCAGCGGTGATGAAAAATGGATTCTCTCTGCGAGTATTAAATGCCGAAAACAATGACTCAGTCCTAGACAAAAACCACTTCTGACCCCAAAACCTGGACACCATCCACAGAAAGTCCAAATGCAAAGCATCTTACTCCTTTGATGTCCCATTCATTTCAACCTCCTCAATCCACAGTGAACTGTCAATGCAGAGATCTATTGTCAGCAACTGGAACATTTAAATCAAGCCCTTCATTAGAAATGCCCTTCACTCATCAATCAGAAAGGTGTTCTTCTCCACGACAATGCACGTCCACATGTGGCATGTTTGATGTAACACAGGATTATGGAGTTGGGCTGGGAAGTTCTCCCCCACTCACCATATTCTCCTGATATGGCACCATTAAATTGCCATCTTTTTCGTTCACTGCAACACTTCTTAATAGGAAAACTTATTCAATTGTGGAAGGTATTAAATAGGATATTGACATGTTTTTTACTTCAAAGCCAAGTGATTTCTTTAATCAGGGCATTAACATGATTGTAAGGTGGAAAAGCATCATTGATAAGAATTGAGACTATTTCATTTAATAAATGTTTTATTTTGATGTATAAGTTGTTCAGGATTTTTCATTTAAAAAAGCTACATTCATTTCTTGACAACCTGATATATATCTTCATAATTCATTATATTAAGTAATATTTTTGAAACTTTTATAAAAACGGAGATTCAACCTATATGCATTTTGTAAACCTGATAAATAAATTGACGTGAATGTCTTTTATTGACAAAACATTTTGAGGAATGGAAGCCATGCTTTAAGTGTGTGAACAAAAATAAAACATACCATAACTTTTTTAAATAAACGGATTGATTTGATTTTGACAACCTCCAAATATGGTTATAACATTAGTATCTCATAATTTGTTTTCCATTTTGTATAAAAACATTTACTCTGATATGAACTTGACATTTTTTTCTATTCGGATTATATTATGCATTACAATTTTTCAACAGTTTTTTTCAAAATCCAGATTAACAAAGGCCTTTACTAAAGAGACCGGTTTTATTGCGAACTGAAACTTGCATCATGTGGAACACAAGTGAGTGTTTGAAATTTATGGACAAATATAGTTTTTTGTTAGGGAGGTGTGTTGATCTTTTAATATATATTTAGTTGAATCTTTTTTTTTATACAGAATAATTTATTTATGGTGTCATTATAAAATCTATATGTATTGAAAATAATATTGAATTGTAAACATCACAAGTGTAATTGAAGTTTTTGGATATGTTTGGTAATGCATAATTAGTCAAGGTGTTGTTCAGAGCATAGAAAGAAAAAGTTGGGATTATTGTGTTCACAAATTAAGGACCTGACCCAAAATGCTGTAAAAATTATCTCAAAATTGGTTTGTAAATAAAAACAAATATTAATTTTTAACATAAAATAAATTTTGAACAATTTTTGTATATTTAACAAGTTATTTCTATATGAAAAAAAATATCTTACTTTTCAGCTACATAGTTGTCATTTATGATATCTTTAAACAGTAGCTTCTATAATCTTTTCTTTATTACAGAAGTATTTTGAAGTTGATTCTAAAGCTCTTCTTCAAGTGCCATTGTTTAAAATTGAAAGTACCTCATCCATTTCTTAATAACTGATCAAGGGAAGACTACTTTCTGGATAAAAATTCAGACAGTTTTTATAGTATCTTCAAAGTATCATAATGCCTGCTAAACCCCTCATTTCACTGGATGACTTAGAAGCCTTGGTGAAATACCTCTAGTGAGCTTGGGCTTTCTCTTGTTAAAGTTTCTCCAATTTCTCTTCATTTAAGTCAGTTTTATTTCACAATGTTATGCTCATTAACTTATTCCTCTGAAACTGTTTGTCAAAATTGATATGTTTTTTTTTACATTCTACAGTCTCCTTAACTTTTTATTGGTTGTCTTCCCAATAATTATACAGTTCTTAATAAGGATAATATGAAGAAGTAATCTCCTTGAGATTGGGGTCTTTTGCACAGTATTTTTTCTCAGTTTTTGATTCTACTATCTTTCTTTTTCCCATATACTTGTTTGGTTTTTTTTACATGTTCATCTAATAGGAGTGTTACAACATAATTATTTCATTACTGACTTTTTTTGGTTCTTTTCTTATTGTCTGTCCTTGATCTGAAATTTGGTGTTTTACATCAATGAAAATTTAAACCAGTTTTTTACACAAATAGACTACTATTTTTTAGATGATGGTTAATAAAAATCTGCATGAATATGAGTTTTCTTCTTGTATCAATTTTTTGGTTAAGAATAGTTCCTCTTAAAATTAAACTGTAGTGGTTTATTAAATTTCTGAACCAATATCTTTAGTTAAAGCATACCAGTAAGAGCATAAAATCACTTAAGTCTCAAACTTTGTTCATGGTATTTATGACAGATGGCTTGTGGGCTCTCAATGTGAGTTATTACTTTTGATGGAGGATTGTAGTCAAAAGTACAAATAATAAAGCCATAAAATTAAAAGAAAACATGTGCAAAGGTTAACAGTTAAAAGTACAAGTATAATAAAATTAAAAAATTCAAATGATGCATTCAAAAAAAAGAAGGTATTCATTTCATACTTTTAAACTTTTCATTTCACTGTACATTGATGTTTTCACTACAGAAAGTGTTAGGATAGAGGAACTAGCAGCTAAAATACTAGATGTCATTTCACAGGGTCCCCAAAAATGTTCTGTTTCAGGAGTAAATAAAACCAAAATTAGGAATAAAAAATATATTTATTTCTTACTTTTCAAATTCATATGTTATACTGTGTTATAGCCTATAGGGTGCATAGCTCTTATTGTGATTCATGGCATGTGCACATTTTACTTATGTCACAACAGTACAAATTGCATTGTTAAGTGTCCCTTATGTGATATCATTTTAGTGTCTACTGATTGACTGACAGGCAACACACTAATATATAGTGGTGCTAGTAATTAAAACAGGTAACCTCTCCAAGCATACTTCGGCTCCGTTTTGGGGAAATAAAGTTTTAGCTAAAAAAAAGTTTACTGATTTAGGAGATCCTGGAGGTTATACAAATGAAATACTAAAAGTTAAAATGAAAAGAACTATTTTTATTCTTTCTATGAGAATCACATTTCACTCATACTGACTGATGAAAGGCTTCATAAATTCTCAAACAAATCTTCAACAGAAGTACTTCCATAAAAATGTTGCTTTTTTTATATACAGCAGTTTCGTAATGTTAGGTAAAAGACTGCCAAAGTTTGTGCAGATACATTTAGTAACTTCAGAGTTAAGTATAGTTTCACATCTCCAAGGTGGGTCAGATTGGCCCACTTCATACTTAATGTTAGTAACAACTGGTTGTCTTCTCTTACCCGACTATTCTTCAATCCAATTAACTAGTTCTTCTCCATCCTCCACCAGTGTGATGTTTTTAGCTTATCTTCTGTGTGGAAACTTGTCAAATGCCTTTTTAAAATCTAAATACACCAAGTTCATATCCTTTCCATCATCCATATAACACAACATTCTTTCTTTTAAAAAAATTAACAAATAATAAGGTGATTTCTTTTTTAGTGAATCTGTGATGCTATATTTCATTGAATGATTTTATAAAGTTTTTATCAGACTAAACCTTTTTCCACTATAGAAGTAATTCTGTCCACCTTTAAAACACTAGGAAGGACATTTATTTTTCCTGAGGCTTTATTTTTAATCTCAGTTTCTTTTTTTTTTGCATAATAGCAAAGAAATTGTATGTGTGATTCAGGTCAATTCAGTGTTTTTCAAAATGCTAAGAGTCAGGAATATTTGCTAACATCTCTTATATATAAATAATGGAAAATAAAAATAGAAGGAAAAAACATGAGCTATACCATTTCATAGTCTTCATCAACATCCTTTAAGGGCCCAGTATCCATTTTAAACATTTTGATTACCTTTAACAAGGCCACAAAATACAAACCTTCTGTAAATTTGAAAAACTGGGAAAGATGAAGTAACAATGGTGGAGTGTTTACAGTAAGCAAGTAAACACTCTTGTAACATAAACAAAACTATTGGTATGTAAAAGAATGTATATTTATATATATATACAGATTTGCAGAATCACCAAAAATTTTCATACTGCTTGTAGCTAATAACTGGGATGAAATATGTACACAATACTTTATATTAATAAGCTATATTCTAATGTACTCTTTGAAATATATATATATTTTTTAATCCAGACACATGCATTAATCCTCTTTGCTATGGCAGGTCAAAGTGCACGTCATGACTTTTTAGAGAATTACATTCAAAATTTAATTAAACTACTTTATTATCAGGATATATGAATAAAATTGGTGTGAAAATATAGCTATTAAATCAAATTTTATTATTATGTAAGTTTTAAGTTCTTAATTTTATAATAAAATATTTTTTAAAAATCCCCAATCTCACCCTAGTATGAGAATTGTGACATTTGCTCTCTAGGTATCCCTTCTTCTCTAATTTATTTACCACCTCTCTGAGAAGTATGGAATTTTTATGTAAATTACTCATTAAAATATTGTTATTACTCTGGCAAAACATAATTTTATAC